GTCCCAATCTTATTACCAGGCGAGAGACCACGGTCTGCGAACTCTGATCACGGCCACTCCCAGACACAGGTGCCCCGGGCAGCCAGGCCTCCGAGACGCGGGGCCACCGGAGGACGCGGGGCTGGGGCTGGACGGCCTCTGGGGGCTCCTGCCCACGGCCTCCGGGAGTGTCGGACGGAGCCGCCTCAGGTGCGGGCGGCGTCACTGCCACAGCTGGTCGTCCTCGCAGGCGCAGGCCGAGTGCTGGGTCACCGAGTGAAGGATCCACTTCTCCGACAGGTACGTGACGGTCTCCTTCCTCCTCCCCTGGCCGGGCCGATGAAGAGGCTGGACTGGCTAGGGGCCCCCGTGACCCGACCCCCACACAGGAGGACCAGCTCCCACAGCTTGGCTCTGGGGGGGCCGCTGGCTGGTGAGATGACCATCGTGGGCTGATCGGCGAACAGCGTCCCCTGGTACTGCCCCGCGGACAGGTGGCGCTCCTGGTGGCAGAGCGGAGTGGCGGGAAAGGGGTCGGAGGGTTCGAAGGGTTCCTCGGAAATCCAGTGGCCCAGTTCCAAAGACCACAGGACCCGCTGGTAGGAGAGGGCCCAGCCGCCACGCGCCAGGCCCTGCAGCACGTGGGTGGTGCTCTCACACCCTTCTCGGGTGTTGGGACAGGGCCGTGCTGTGAATGCCACCCTGGGCAGAAGACGCAGAGCCTCCCAGCCACCCCCACAGGCAGGGACTTGGGGACAGAGGTGGGTGTGGCCAGAGGGCTGGGCTGAGAGAAACCTGTCCGGGCTGACCCCTGGCGTGGATGCTGCTCTGCCAGCCTCAGCTTTTCTGGCCACGTCCAGGGCATGGGCCGCAGGGCTAGGGAGGAAGCTTTCTCATTTTATTTTTTTTTAAATATACTTTTTTCTTTTCTTTTTAAAAAATATACTTTTACTAATTTCAGAGAGGAAGAGAGAGAGAGAGACAGAAATGTCAATGATGAGAGAGAATCATGGATCGGCTGCCTCCTGCATGCCCCACACTGGGGATCGAGCCCACAACCCAGGCCAGGAATCGAACCATGACCTCCTGGTTCATAGGTCAGTGCTCAACCACTGAGCAACACTGGCCCGGCTAGTTTTACTTCCTTGTCCTCTGGCTTCTCCTCGAGTGGCAGGCTTGGCTTCTGGCCCACTCAGCGGGCGGCCGCAGTTGTCCTAACCTCGCCCTGTGGGGGGCGCTGTGGAGGGCGTCGGAAACCCTGCACGGGGACATTTCGGGCCAGGAGTGGGGCTGACACCAAATGTGGGGTCCTGGGGAGCAGGCCGTGGCCGACCTCCCAGGGCTGTGCTCCGGGTAGGAAACGGGTGGGGGGCCCGCCCCCCCGGGACCGGCTGTGCTGACCGCAGGCCCTCGTTTTGGACACGGGGAGATCCATCCTGTAGCGCCGACAGGAAGTCGTGGATTTCCACGAGCCCCGTGCACGGGGCATGGTGACGCGTGGGCCTCCCGGTGACCCGGTTGTGCGGCCACTGACGGCGCGACCGGGAGGACGGTGAGGCTCTCGGGGCGCCTCTCCCCCGAAGGACCTGGAAAAGGTACAGGCGTCTGGCTGTAGCCGTGCCCACTGCTCCCCGTTTGCCCTGCACGGCCACCGCTCAGGGAGTTCCTCGTTCTCGTTTGGGCGGGGGGCGGCAGATGTGGGCTGTGTGCGCAGAAGCCCTCTCCTCTGAAGGACGGGGTGCAGCCCGGGAGCTGGGGGGCGCGAGCAGATGGAGCCCCAGCCTCGCCAGCAAGCCCCCGCCCGTGGCCCCCCTGCCGGGAACACAGTTCCACCCTAACGCCTTTTCAGTGAAGCCAGCAGGACCAGCCCGTTTCTGAGCAGCAGAGCAGT